GAGAATCATTTATAAATCTGCAGTTGTAGCAAGCACTGAGGTCTTCCTGTGGGTTTCCGCCAAAATAAAAGCTGACAAAAAGCAAGAACTCCATCAACATTAATAAATGTTAGTATTGTAATTTTACTGTTGTTCTGTAAAATAAAATAAAAAAGTAAGACGATAATAATTACAACAGCTCTACATTTATCATCACATTCACACAGTGTTCAGATTGGGATCTGTAATATTTTCTAATGTTTAAAAGAATTCTCTTCTGCTCAGCAAGGCTGCATTTATTTGTACAAAAAAAAAAAACATGCTGATTCAAGAAGGGGGTCTCAAAAATGGCCAAAAAATATGATTTTACTAACTTATTAATTTTGAGTTAAACTGTGCTTTGGTATAATTAAGGGTGCTCCGATTGATCGGCTACCGATCACTATCGGCCGATAATCACGTTGGGATGTTTGATCGGCGGTCTCTGAAAAGGCAGATCTCAAAAAAACTGATCTCATGCTGATGATGCTGCCGTGAGAGGTTTGGCACGACATGCAGCGGCACGTGTCAGTCTCTGTCCGGCGCGGGTGAAATAATTATAATACTGAAGGTGAGGTACTCGCCTTCATATTTCTTCATTAAATAACTTATAAAGTAATTTGAATATACGCAATACGCAAATGGCTTCAAATTCACCACACATCACACCTGTCTATAAGCGAGCTGCACAGTTGACACAGGAATAGTCACTTGCACAGTCGAGGCAGTGTCACATTGTCACTAAAGTTTATAAATTGCATTTCTTTTTAATTCTTGCCAGTGTTTATAACCATTCAGCGCTCGCACGCTCTCCTGGAGACTGCGCTCATGCACATTCGCAGAGCACACACATAATGCTAGGTTCACATTACTCCGTTTGCAGCACATACTATAAAAAGAAGGCTTTAAAAAGATCGGTATCGGTGATTGGTATCGTCAGATACTGCTTTTCCTGATCGGAGCACCCCTAGGTATAATGTCTGTTGGTACAATGTATAATGTCTGCTTGAATGTTAAAAAAATGTTCAGTGTCAAAAAATTGTAAATTGTTTTGTAATTGATTTTTTTCTTTAAAAAGCAAGACAAAACAGTAAAAAGCTCATTTTGGCTATTAAAGGGGTGATATGATGCGATTTCAATTTTTCCTTTCTCTTTGGAGTGTTACAAGCTCTTGGTGCATAAAGAAGATCTGTAAAGTTGCAAAGACTAAAGTCTCAAATCCAAAGAGATATTCTTTATAAAAGTTAAGAGTCAGCCACGCCTACGTAAAACGGCTCGTTCTAACACGCCCCAACATACCTACGTCGCTCTGTGGGAAGATTTGCATAACACCGCCCAAATGTGCACGCAAAGAAAGAAAGCGTGGTTTCAGGAACAGCAGTAGTGTTGATAAAGCCATGTCAGGGAGACGCTGTGTGATTCAGTGCGAAAGCAAAAGCACTTTATTTGGCCTTCCGGAAGTAGATGCAAT